TTGTCAGGTCCAATGGTAGTCTCACACAAGTGTCTTAATGCAAAAAACCGTCAGTTCCGCCCTTGCCTTTTCTGAAGCCAAACTGGGATTCATTGAGATGAGTCTCTACAATTGGTCTCATTCTCATTTCCAGTATCTTGGCAAACGTTATATCCACACGGCTTAGAAGGGATATTCCTCTGTAGGCTCTGTGTTGCTTTTGTCGCCCAGGCCAGGTTAAATATCCTCCATAGCCAGAGTTCTCCGATATGGCCGTATAGTTTGATCTCTTCTGCTGTGATGTTTCCAACGCCAATCGCTTTGTTTGTGGGGCTATTCTTTATAAAATGTTGGGTTTCACTCTGCAGTAGTGATGGTTCTGGATTGGTTTCTTTCGGTGAGAAGCTGTTTGCTGTTGTTTCTGTTGTAGGATTCAGCAGCTCCGCGTTTCTATCTTTCCTTAATCTTTGGCTTTCTAAAAATAGAGTTTTCCGTGCTCATCATTGACTATTTCAGTTTGGTTGAATGGTTCTTCCCGCATCCTCATGTTTTTTTAACTCTCTAGTAAAACTCTCAAGGGTCTTCTTTACATTTTGTTACCAGCCGTTCTCCATATACTGTCCAGGATCTGTTCTTAGCTTCTTTTACTGCCCTTGATGTATAGCGGCGGTCCTTTCTGTATAGGATGTAATCTTCCTCCGTCTTTGATTTCTACCACTTTTTGAATGCCTTTTTCTTCAGTTGGACGGCTTCCTTCACTTGGTCATTCCACCATATAGTTGTTTTCTTTTTCTGCCCTCTTGTTTTCCTGGTGCCGAACTCTTCTTTTAATGCTCTGTACACACATGCATTGAAGTGGCTCCATTCCTCTTTCATGTCTCCCAATTTTGGGCGAAATTTGTGAAATACATCTTTCAAACGTTCATGTATCTTATCCTTGTTATTGTCACTTACATATTTCTGAGATTTACGACTTCTCATCGTTTCTTTGCTTCTGGCCTTTTCCTGTTTGGTGTGTCATTAGTCATGACGACTGGTCTGTAGTCAGTGTCTGTGATGTAGATGGGAATCACTCTTGAGTCTCTGATTTTTCTCAGTTTCGATCTTTTGGCCAGGATAAAATAAATTTGTAATGCTATCTTTAGATCATTGCATTTGTACCAAGTTTTAACTTGACTCCTTTTGTGTTGGAAGAAGGTATTTGACATGACGAGCTCATGTTCTGCATACAACTGTAATAGCATTTCTCCATTGCTGTTTTGATCTGTTTCCCTGTCACTGTGTGGCCTCATGTATCTCTCCCACGTCATTTTCCTTGTTTCCACTCTGCCGTTAAAGTTCCCCATCATTGTCACATTATCTTTGTCACCCACGGTGTTTAAAAGGTCAATCAGTTGATCATAGAACTGGTGTCGCTCTTCTTCGGGATATGAATCATTGCATAGTGTATATATATATATATAATATATATATATATATATATAAT